TGGAGGTATAAGACTCTACAAGAACTTGTGAAAAATGGTTTATTGTTGGGAAATTATTTATTTGTTATTCATTTAAATTATTGGTATTGCATAAACTTGAGATTCGTTGAAATGCCTCAGTTTTATTTCAAAAATTGATATCTGATATTTGTAAAATGAGGCCGACTTGCTTTATACGTTTTTTAAACCTTACTCGAGTTTGGGAGGAATGTTGCTATAGAACTTAGTGTTCACCCCCTGCAAACTATATATTTTTCAGATTATAGTCTAAACGAGGAACTCGGAGTTAAGGAGCTGATACATTGAAATGCTCCACTAAACAGGCTCGTAGATTCCGAGGTGGACATCTAGAGTGATACTCTCCTAGGCATTAGACTAAGAAATTCTTTTGAGATTATGTAAAGACTAATCTTTTGTTATTCCGCTGCAAAGTTTAAACTTGATTTTTTTGTGATGTAGATGTCATAGTTCGGTATATTCTTTTAGACAATACTGTAGATATTGTGAATGATGAATGAAATTATTTTTAATTATGGATGTTATTAGCTGCTCTCGTGTTGTGAATAATTTCTTAAATTGTAATATCGTCTAAGAGGAATTTTGGGACGTTATAGAAATTGAGTGGTTTATAATCTATTTATAGACTCAACATATTTTGTTTCCTAATTCAATAAGGTTTCCAATTGATCTTTACTTGAAGTACACTTTCAAGACATCCGAGTTGCTAAATCCCTAAAGAGAATAAAGTTTAAATGACACCCACTATATATTAGATCATTTTCAATCATGACTCAAATTTTTATTCAAATTTAAATTAATATTTGAGTAAAAAACTTGATTTGATATAAATGATTTTAATAGACAAATTCAAATTTAAAGAAGGAGAGACCCAAATTTAAATATGAGTAAAAATGATCATTAGATCTTTAAAAGATTGTGAAATCTCATCATTAAAGATTTGAGTCTCCCTTGATTTGAGTAAAAAAAATAAGTTTCCATAGATTTTATATAAATTTAAGTCAAGGGTTGGGGTAAGTTTTATAGACTTCTTTATTCAAATTTAAATTTAAATCAGGGTGGAAGATGTCATTTATGTATCAATTATCGAGCAAAGCAAGCAACAGAGTTATACCAAAGGGTGAGCCGTAACTTTGTAAGCCTGAGTTTAAGTTTCAACAAAATTTATAATTAACAAATGTGCGAGATTTAATCAAACGGGAAGTGGTTAGAATGATTTTCTCTAAAAAAAATACATGTTTTGATCATGTGGTCTATTATCATATATATTCTGACAATTACACTCCCTTCGGTTAACAAGAAAAAGAGGATAGAAAATGAAGTAAAAGAAAAAAAAGTGAAAAAAGAAATATTTTTTTATATATGCATTTGGTTAGCATAAAAAATTTCTAAAAAAATTTTAAAATAATTTCATTTTATTGTTTGAAAGAAAAGAAAGTTACAAGAAATTTTTTCTAATTGTTTAAGTCATCCTTAATTATTTTAACTCAATTTAAAGAAGAAAAAATATTTTTTATTATTCAAATTTTAAAAAAATTGACTTCTAACCTATTTCAGAGACAAGAATCGACTCAAATTCTGATTTCTAGATTAAATTATATGGTTAGTCTAATTTGTACAAATTTTTTTAAAATTAATAACTAATTGAATATTTTTTTAAAAAATAACGGTAAAATGGGAAGTTAAGTCATTGAACATAACTTTCTTATTTTTTTTTATATTTTTTGCTAGAAAAAAAAAGTTAATTAGATATGAGAAAATCTAAGAATGGAAAAAAAATATTTTTTATATCATTTTCAATTTTATGCTAAACAAACACGTGTAAAATTTTAAAATTTTCTCTTTCTTGCATTTTCTAACATTATCTTACTAAAGAAACGGATCCGGAGAAAAAAATTTGTGTCATATACAATCAAATCATATATACATAGAAATTCTAAATTCATAATAGTTCAAGTGATAACAAGAATGAACTGTAAATTCAGACGTTGTGAGTTTGAATCTTGATAATCCCTTGGGGTTAGATTATGAGGAATTTATCCCTCGTGAATTCCCTAATCCCGATATAAATGATCTGTTTTTAACCAAATCTGAGAAGAAATTAATCGAGATACATGTAAATTAGTCTGGACACCATGTTAAAAATAAATAAATGCCCAGAAAGCCATTTCACTCGGTATTACCAAGAAGACTTGAAAACATAATGAAAAATTCTCACCAAACAATGTTAAGTACAAGTCACGCAGAAGGGCAGAACAAAGCCTTTCTTAGAAAAGAAGACAATTTACCCAGAAGCTATACATTGGGATTTGGCTCTCACAGATAGAAGAAGAGACGAATGAATCAAAGAAGAATGCTGATATAAGGGGGAGGAACAACGTAGTAAGCTTGATGAATGTTTGTGCGACTGCTTCAACAAAGAAGAAGAGAAAGTCAATGGCCAACTTCAGAATTTTCATGCACATTTCCAATCCCTTGATCACCATAAATATCCATATTAACAGTCAATTTAGGTTAGATCAATTTTTAAATGAATTTTTTATAAATCAGAAGTTTTATGGAAATAAAAAGACAACCAATGGTGATAAATATAAATTTTCGAATATCTCATTTTATAATTTTAAATTTCTTATTTTGTATTTCATCATCCTCTCCATGACATAGATTAAAATTCTGTATTGCACCATTCTCAATAACATAGTATGAATTTTGTGGATCTGTCTTCTTAGTAATTTCACCTGAGTACTTGGTGCATTTGAAATACAACCTGAATATGTTGATTCTCAAATATATCTCAATAGTGACATATTTTTTATACGAATTGAACTTGGCCCCTTTGTAGATGTAATCATAGGCGGAGCCACATGGGAATCAGGGTGGGCACTTGCCCCCTCACTTTTGAACCACCTTAGATAAAGCCCCACAAAATTATTTTATACATTATATTTTTCCCCTAAATTTTTGAAAATTTTAATAATGATTCTAATCTTTTTTTTTTCAATAAATTAGTGGACCACTAACCCTCTAAAAATAAATATGTTAGTTTTAGATTGAGTCAATGATCTATTTGTATATTGATGAAAATACAATATTTATCTTTATTTAACATAATGTTCGTTACGTTTTAAGAATAATTTTAATTTTAATTTATTATTTTTTTAGTAATAGTAGTCTATAACCTAATAAAATACGATTGTATACAAAAGACAAAAGGTTGTAATCTAAAAATATTTCAAATAAAAAATTTCTCTATAAGATTAATAATAATCTCAACTAAATTTTGTAACTAAATAAAAAATAATTTTACCACGAATTTGTAATTGTGCACATTGATAGAAAATTAGCGAAAAATTAATTTACATTTACTTCATACACAAAATTTTAGAGATTTTAAAATTTTTATATTTTATTGAAATATATAATTAGGTTAAAATATACTAAAAAAAATATTTTGTATCTCTTTGTTAGGATTTTGTTTAAGCAAATTAAAATTTTAATTTATTATTTTACAATAATTTTGTCTTGATTTTTACTTTTTTATCATTCTCTAACTGATTTTTTTTGTATCAATTTCGGCAAAATATTTTTTATACCAGTTATGTTTTGCATTCCTTATAGATATTCATGGTTCCGTCCCTGACAATATACATTTTTCTTTTGAAATTTTTTTTGTTAAATAGATTTCATGTATCAAATAAATTTATAATAAATATAAATATATTATATAGTTTGATTGGTTAGAAGGAAAAAAATTAAAGTATATAATTAAAATGTCTACTCTAACCAAAATTTTTGACTCCCCCCTGAATGTAATTGTCACAGGTGGTGCATCGAATGCTCATTGGAAGTATCATACGAAGCTTAATCTGTATGTTCTTGGTTGTCTTCACTTTGGTTATTTTTGCCGGATCAAAGTCCAGCGTGTAGTACTTGTTAATCACCTTCCTCTCTCCCATGTCTTCTTAACAATAAACAATCAAATTAAGATTTTTAAAAAAACAATAAAGATTCACAAGAAAATTTATGTGGAATCATCAATAGATTTTCTTCTTCTTCCTTCACTTTTTCTGCCTAGAGTTCCAATAAAAAAAACTTTAACCGATTCAATCTTGTTATATAGTATACATAATGTCATATGATTTAAGAAGACCAAGAAGTTTTCTCCCAATAATAATAAAATAAATAATTAATTAGAGCTGTCCATTCAAAAAAAATTTAGAAATTAAAGGACACTTCACAATGAAAAGGCTAAATTATCCTTAATGAAGTGATTACTCCTAACTAAAACAGATTTAAAAACTAAAACTCATAAATTTTAGATATTTCTCATATTAGCGGCATTTCTTTCTCTCTTATCTGGCTATAATAGACATCCCATGCAATGCACGAAATTTATTATCTCTTCTTATTATTAACTTATTATTAAATTTTTTGTTATCATAATATCTTTGAATAATTTTTATTAATATTAAAATGCTATTAATTTATATTGTAAATAATTAAAAAAGATGATTAAAAGTTTAAATTTTGAAGTAATTTAAAAAAAACAGTGGGAGTTGTTATAAAAGACATATGTAATGTTTTGATTGGAACCAACTAATCAAATATTTCAAAATTCTAGTAAATTAACGTACAGAGAGAAAAGTTGAACTTACTTTGAAGTCTTTGGCTCAGCCCGCCAACCTTGCTTCGGAATTTTCCAAAGGATGGGTGGAATGGCGCTGTAGGAACCGGTGAGATTCCATTGATACAGAGCCAATTCCAATAGGCTTATTGGAGGGTCCCATTGGCGTGCATCCCCGGCCGGTTCCGCCGGATAGGGCCAGGAGCTGGTTTGGGGAATCACGGGCCTTCTTAAGACCTTTTCCGGACGTCGGGGCGGTTGGAAGGTTCGAATCAGAACTCACGGGCGGATACCTGATAGTCTATGTACTTGGATCCTGAAAGGCAATTTTTTCCGAGTCGTTGCCCTTTTCGGCCTTCACTTCACACAGACGAGTCGAGCACATAATAGCGATGCTTCTGAGCAGAGCTCAAGACCTCTCGCCATTCATTCTATCTCTCTCTTCAAGCCCCAAATCATGCCTAATCCCACAACACAACCACCCCAATAAAGGCCTCACCTTTCCCATGCGCACTGCCCTCTCAATCCTCCGCTCTTTATCCACCTCCTTCCACCACCACAACCACCACCACCACAGCTACCACCGCCTCCTCTTCTATTCTCTCTCTGTCCTACAACCCTCACCACCTCTCAGTCTCCCGCTCTTAAGCTACAAAACCCACCATTCATTTCGATTTCTACTACTCTCCAACCCTTCTGCTTCGGTGAGTACTATGGTCGAACAGTTGGCGCACGAACCGGAAGAAGTGAGAGGCCATGAAAAGTGGGACTTCTCAAAAAATGAAGAGAGGAAAATATTTGAATTTGATGATTCTTTTGTGTCGACTGAGTTGAAGAAGCTGGATTCGCCGTCTCTCGAGGTTAAGGAATTGGAGGAGCTTCCGGAACAGTGGAGGAGAGCGAAATTGGCGTGGCTGTGTAAGGAATTGCCTGCCCATAAACCTGCAACGATGATTCGGGTACTCAATGCGCAAAGGAAGTGGCTTAGACAAGAAGATGGGACTTATCTTGCGGTTCATTGTATGCGAATTCGCGAGAATGAAGCTGGGTTTAGGGTAAATTTCATATTCTTGTTAAACCAAGTTTCCTAATCAAAGATTTTATTTTCTATGACATTGTTCTTCACTGTCCATAGTAGGAGGACATTCGGGGGAAATGGGTTTTTTGAACTGCAATTGGGACAGTGACAATAACTGCCAGGTTTGATGGCTATATTCTTCTCTGCCATGCAACTGTGATATATTTGAAGAACATTCTGATCGCTCTTCCTGTTAGATGATGATGTCTTTAGTAAACCCCAGTGGTTAATCAACCTTACAATCAGGAAAATGAGAGAAATTGCAAGATATTTTGTAGTCATAACTCATCAAACTAAAACTCAGTTATACGATTTTGATAGTTTTTACTACAACTTGTAGTGCATGATATGAATTTGCATTTCATAGTTGCCTTACAATTTCTGGCCTTTGACTGATGAAGTGGATTTCACAAGAACGAGTATGACGGGTTAATATTTTATGGGTTGTAATCATTTTCAGATTTTAGTTACATTCAATTTCTTTTCTTGCCATCTTTTGTACAATGCTAACAGTTAACTGATCTAGAATGTTTTACTGTCTGCCATTCAGGCCAAATATTTGCTCATACCTTAAAGGTTTTGTAAGTATATGGGAGCCTTGAGCCTGAAATAAAATTTACTCTAGCAGCAACTTTTAGTGTGATCACTGAAGTCCTAGACGTATTCCATGGAAATTTAATGCTGTTTCAGTACTTTACCGCTGCCCACAAATTGCTTTGATGTTTCCACTGTTATTCATAATGAATTTGTGATTGAATATGGACATACATTTCTACTCGATCTTGGGGGTTACGAAGAATCTAATTTATCGCATATCACACTCCACGTCTAATTTTCATTTCTATTTTTCTTTTGACAATTGGCATGGTCGTAAGGCAAGCTAATTACTGCACGTCACAGCCCCATCCTGAGAGGTTGTCACTCTTATCTGTAATGTGCCTGAATTTTCTCTTTTTGTTATTGCATATACAGAGAAATATCCTTTGTCATTATGGTCATTATGACTGGATGATGAATGTTGTACCCTGAGTTCGACATCTATGAATACTGAATTTGTTGTTAAACTTTTCAGGTATACAAATGGATGATGCAACAACATTGGTATCGCTTTGATTTCGCTCTTGCTACCAAGCTAGCTGATTACATGGGCAAGGAACGAAAATGTTTAAAATGTAGGGAGATATTTGATGACATAATTAACCAGGGACGAGTGCCTAGCGAATCTACATTTCATGTTCTTACCATTGCCTATCTTAGCTTGCCTGCGCAAGGTTGCCTGGAGGAAGCATGCAGCATTTACAATCGTATGATTCAACTAGGTGGTTACAAGCCACGACTTAGCTTACACAATTCTCTATTCAGAGCTCTTGTGAGCCAACCAGGTGGATCTTCAAAATATTACCTTAAGCAGGCAGAATTCATATTTCACAATCTGGAGACATCTGGACTCGAGATACATAAGGATATCTATGGTGGTCTAATTTGGCTTCACAGCTACCAGGATGCAGTAGACAAGGAAAGGATTGCATCACTCAGGAGAGAGATGGAACGAGTGGGAATAAAAGAGAGCAGAGAAGTGCTTTTGTCCATCTTGAGAGCTTGCTCTAAGGAAGGGGATGTAGAAGAAGCTGAAAGAACTTGGATTAAGCTTCTTCATTCTGATGAAAATCTTCCTTCTCAAGCTTTTGTGTATAGGATGGAAGTCTATGCGAGGATTGGAGAACCTATGAGATCGTTGGAGATATTCAGGAGAATGCAGGAGCAATTGGGTTCTGCCAATGTTGCAGCATATCATAAAATTGTAGAGGTGTTATGTCAAGCTCAAGAAATAGAACTTGCAGAGTCACTCATCACAGAGTTCATGACGAGTGGTTTGAAGCCCTTAATGCCATCTTTTATTGATTTGATGAATATGTACCTCACTTTAAGCTTACATGATAAACTGGAGAGAACTTTCTTCCGGTGCCTTGAGAAATGTCATCCCAATCGAACCATTTACAATATTTACTTAGATTCACTAGTACAAATTGGTAATCTTGGCAAGGCCGAAGAGGTCTTCAACCAAATGCTTAGTAATGAGGCGATTGGTGTTAACACCCGCTCATGCAACACTATCTTAAGGATATTCGTCTCTTGTGGAGAATATATGAAGGCAGAAAGAATATATGATTTAATGTGCCAGAAGAAGTATGACATCGAATCACCTTTGATGGAAAAAATTGACTATGTTCTGAGCTTGAGCAGAAAAGTTGTGAAGAAACCCATGAGCCTTAAGCTTGGCATAGTACAACGAGAGATTCTGGTGGGGATGCTGTTGGGTGGTTTACGAATTGAATCGGACGAAGACAGGAAGAATCATGTAATCCGTTTTGAGTTCAATGAGAATTTTGGCACACATTCGATTTTAAAGAGGCATATATATGACCAGTACCATGAGTGGTTTACTTCATTCAGTAGGCCTGCAGATGGAAGTGATGATATACCCTTCCGTTTTGCTACCATTTCACACTCTTATTTTGGTTTTTATGCGGAACAATTCTGGCCAAAAGGTCGACCTGTGATTCCAAAGCTTATTCACCGGTGGCTGTCACCACGAGTTCTTGCGTATTGGTACATGTATGGTGGCCATAAAACATCATCAGGGAATATTTTGTTGAAGTTGAGGGGAAGTGAAAAGGGTGTTGATAGGATTGTCAAGACATTGAAGGCAAAGTCTTTGGATTGCCGTGTAAAAAGGAAGGGGCCATTGTTTTGGATTGGTTTTTTGGGCAACAATGCTGCATGGTTCTGGAAACAAGTCGAACCCTTCATTTTAGATGATTTAAAAGATGTTCTAGAAGCCGTCGATCAAACAATGGATGGAATTGTAGAAAGTGATAGCATTGATTTTGATAGTGAACCTAGTCCTGATGCTTCTGCTTACAGCGAAGATGACAGCTCATAGGACATGTTTTTAATTTTTTTTCCCCTTGGTCACATCTTATTGTGCAGATCTGTTTCAGACCAGAGTTTGAGAAGCATGACTGCTAAAATTTTACTGGTTTGTGATGCATCCAAGGACTCTAAGATGATTGACCCTATAGTTCTGCCAGCATCCAAAGTTGTATGTATTTCACTTCTTGTGATGAATGAAAATTCCTATTACCATTATCATACTGAAGTTGCATAACGTTATAAACTTGTTCTAGTTTGTAATTTCCCCTCTCTCTGTCTGTCACAGACATGCGCGTGTGCATGGTGTGTAGGATCTAGCTTCTGTGGTGGACGGTTGTCTATACTCTAATAGATATAACAGCATATTTTGATGATCTGAGTATGTTTATAATATTCTCTGATATATTTACTAATAGGTGGACTTACCTGAATCTTGCAACAGTTAAGTTTGTCCTTTTGTTGTAGGATTGTCAAATGTTAAGCAAAGGGTGTTTCATTCACAAGAAGTCTACTAATGTCAACCTCACGTTGGCTGCCTTACTGGGAATGAGGGATCCCTAACAACCGAAGAATTGCAGGAGATAATCTTCCCAGAGTTGCATTTGAAGATGATGAGATGGTACATGTAAAGGTTATACCTTTCTTTAGCTATTAGTCCATGGATGCTCCGTGGAATTCTAGTCCAGCAGCAGACTTTGTTGGATACTCAGAACTTATGTATTATATATATTGATTTGCCATCTCCTCTATGTCATTCTGAGGTAACCATGAGTTTGTTTCGAGTTATATTGTTTTTGTATGTTACAGATTCGTATATGGAAGTAATGTATCAAAAAGTTGATCAGTTTTTTCTGTTCCATTCCATAACTTGTTTTGCAGGAATTCGGGTGGTCTCCATTTGCAATTTATCCACGCCAACGAACCTTGGAACCCCTCTTTCTGCGGCTGTGCTAGGAGCGCGACACAGTTCTTTCCTGTCCAGCCCTTAAGGCCAAGATTCAGCACCTTTTTTATCATTTATGTAAGCTGCTTATTTTATGCAAACTGTTTTAAGCTCAGGATATGGTCAAGATGAGCGAGCAACGCCTTCCAACGATTTTCAATTTCATCATTGATAGGTCGTATGTTCTGACTGTACCTTTGATTTTTTGATTTTCAATTTTATCCTTCAACGATCTATATAAAAAAGTACAATACAATTTAAATTTTAAAAGATAAATAAAATAATTTTTACTTTTTGCAATTGAAATCTCTTTAAATTTTATTTTAAAGTTAATTCGACGACTAATATTAACACTTTAAATTTAATAGGAAAAATAGACTTCTAAGAATGTATTTGGAGTGATTTTTTAAAAGTGTTTTTAGAACTTATAACTTACAAGTATTTTTTTAAAAATGGCAAAATTCAGTTTTATCTCCTTGTGGTTTGGGTATTTTGCACATGAACCCCTTATGATTTGGAAATTAGCACATTATCTCCTTATGTTTTTGGACTGATATGCACAATTAACACCGTAAATAGAAGTGGTAAAATGACTTTAGTACCCTCAATTATTTATTATCTTCTTGCTCCCTCTCAACTGTAGCATAATTTTCTAAAAAATGAACTAACCACCCAACTTTACAAACTTTATAAGTTTTTTTCTCTTTCCACAAAGTACTAAACTTTCTCAAACTAATGTCAGTATCCCCACTCTCAACCTAGTTTTAAACCCATAGACTTGTTTCCTTAAATAGCCTCCAAGACCCACGAATTTAAGTTCAAAGGTGATCACAAATTTATTTTGATAAGTTAGATTTTTTTCAACATTTGGGCCAACTCTGACCCTTAATTTTTCCCTCGTTTCTCAACTCTTTTGGGTGATTCAAATATCTAAATTTGACTTCTTTTTACCCTCTTTCCAACCATGTATTTAGTTTGTCCAAATCATGCACAAGGTAAGTGGAAAATCCAGTTCCAAACTGATGGGTTCATCATTTTCAAAAATTGTCACGATTTTTAATTTAATTTTTCACCCACCAAACCTCATTTTTTCTTGATTCTAACTTCAAAAATGGATTCCTTAACCTTTAAAATGGTGGATTAAGCCTCCTTCACATCCGAAACTCGAAATTTTGAATACTCAAAAATTCAAGTTTTAAGCTTAAACAAGGGTTTTGATTTTCTCTCACTATACACATTGTTGTCTCTCTCACTCTCTCTCTGACTCAATAATGTCATTGCCCCCTCTGTCTCTTCTTCATCATCTCTCTCTATCAGCAACCCCCTGTCCCCTTCTCTCCTCTCTCTTTCTCTAAGTAAAAACCTCATTGCCCTTTTTTCTCCCCACCCTTTTGTCACTATTGGCAACCCACCGCCAAACAGACCTCCCAGGTATATCTCCATCTCATCCCTTCCCTTCCTCTCTTGCCCTCTCCTCTATGCTCAAACCCCCTTTTCCCAGACTCTCCTCGCTGCGACCAACGACGGCATCAGAGCTACACCCCTTCCTACACATAAAGACGATCCCACAATAATTATTGAACCTCTAGGCATTAGCTATTCCTATGGTTTGAGTGGTAAGATGAATTTCACTTGAGTCGTGCATAGTTAAGAATCATCCACTTAATTTTAATTTTTAAAATTTTGTTGTTAAAAAATTTGATAAGGAGACGGTGCTTGGAGTGAATTGTTTGAGAAAAAATATGATAGTCAACTGTTCAGGAAGATAAAGATTGAAGAACGATATTATTGTACTTTTATTGTGTCTATTTTTGGAGGAAAAAAGTTTTGTTATGTCAAATCTCCTTTTAGGCGAGTGGGTGTCACAGATGGTTTAATCTAACGGAAAAACTAACGGTAGTATTTTAGTCCAAAAGCACAAGAGGGTAATGTGCTGATTTTCAAATCATAGGGGGTCATGTGCAAAACACCCAAATCACAAGGGGGTAAACTGGATTTTGCCCTAAAAAAAATAGTATTTGGCCCCACCACCACCACCTTCGCCACCACAACCATTATCGCGAACCCACCACCACAAACCATACCACCACTTCGGCCCACCACCACCACCTTTATCGCCCCACCACCACCATCATCGTTGCCGTCACTGCCACCGCTAGCGTCACCGCCACCCACACCACTATCATTGCCACAAACCCCCACTTTCCCAGCTGCCACCCAACCGTTCCCACCACCACCACCCTACCACAATCACCATCGTCACTCCACTACCACCAGCACCGTCATCGCACACCATCGTCGCCAACTGTTTTCACCCACTCCCACCACACCTACCAATACCAACTACCACCATACGTCGTCGCCCACCACACCTACCACCGCCATTTGCCATCACTCATCACACTGTCGCCCAAAAACACCTGGCACAGTCCACCACCACCATCGCCACCACCCTCCACCAAAACTCACCGCCACCACAACTCACCACCTATGGCTACCACTGCCACTATCTATCAACCCAAACCTACCACCACAATCACTATTGCCACCCACGGTTGTCATTATCACTCATGATCGTCGTCACCCATCACAACTATCACTGTCTCCCACCACCACCACTATCGCCCCCAACCACTACCACCGCTCACCCTACTATAATCGGTACTTAAATTCTTTTTTCTTTCATCTATATTTGTGATTTAATTTTGAATGTATATACAAATATATTTATTGTTAACCATTTTTTTGTTACTCTATACTTTCGCGCACATATAATAATTACTCTATATAATAAAATACAATACAATTCAAATTTTAAAAGATAAAAAAATGACTTTTACTATTCACGATTGAGATATCTTTAAATTTTACTTTAAAATTCATCTGACAATTAATATTTACACTCAAAATTTAATAAAGAAAATATGGACCTAATGGTATGTTTGGAATAACTTTTTTAAAGTATTTTTAATATTTATAATTTCTCATAAGTGCTTTAAAAAAACTAGTGCTTTGAAATTGTCCCACCAACACCTCTACCACCACCAGCCCCATTGTCCCACCACAACCAATATCGCCACCCTACCACACCCATCACCCCACGACCACCATCACTGCCACCACTACTGTCACTCCACCATCACCTCTTTCACAACAACCGCCACCATCGCCCCACTACATCAACTATCATAACCCCACCACCACCATCATTGCTACCACCTTACTACCACCGTCACTATCCCACCATCACCCATATCACGTCACCTTCACTGCCCCCAACCACCCATTACCATTGTCATGTAAAGCTGTCACCATCACAACCGGCTGTCATCATCCATCACAACTATCATGGTCTCCCACGACCACCATTGCCACCCACCATCACTACCACCCTTTGCACTCCACTATAATCAGTGTTTAAATTCGTTTATTTTTATTCTGTTTTTATAATTTAATTTTAGGTGTGAATACAAATATGTTTATTATTGACCATTTTTTTATTACTTCGTGCCTTCAAGCACAAGAAATAACTAGTATCATAATATGACTTATATCCTTCTTTTTCTTTAGCTTATAAATTTATAAATTATATTTGAGTCATATAAGAGCCATATACTCTTTTCTATATATACTTCCCTTTGATTTGGAGATCTCATTAAACTCTCCTCCCCCTAGTCCACGAGTTTTTTTTTTTTTGGAGTTTTTGAAAACAACTTTTTTATGTTTGCATTTTTTGTCCTTGTTTTCAAAACAGAGTAGCAAAAAAAAATGAAAACATACATCAAATGCGTTTTTTTTTTTACTGAAAATAAAAACAACTTAATTACGGAGCACAACCTTAATCTTTCGAATTCTTTTTTCATGTTTCTTCACATAGCAAATAATGCAAAACTATATCCAAAGTTATTTTCTCAAGATACTCTAATCTTCAACAGGTACACTTATGCGTACCATAAAAAAACAAAATATAATATAAAAATAGTCCAATGTACGTGTGTGCTTACAAGTCTATTGTTAACACGAAAGAAGTGACTTAATTAGAAAACACGCGTGTAATTTTGATGGCATCAAAAGCGGGCTATTTATTGTTGGTATAGGAAAGAAGGGGCATATGATGAAGGAGTGAATAGTAGAAAGGGACAATAGTGAACAACACACTTTTCTTTTTCCAATCTAGGGATTTGAATTATGAGGTTGGAAATGTGCCAAAAAAGTTTGACAAAAGTGAGTTCATAGGAGATTATGATTAGTGTGTGTGAGAGAGGAGATTATGAGTTAGTGTGTGTGTGTGTGAGAGAGAGAGAGAGAAAGAGAGAGGGGAAAAAAAGGGGCATGAGTTGGTTCAGTAGTGAAAAAAGAAGTAAAATATTAGGGTCATTTTATGGTACCAGAAAGATTTTTTTAGTATCGTATTAAAAGTTTTTATTTTTTCAGGTAAAGTTAGAAGTGTTTGAGTATCAGGATATGTTTGATCGGTCATAAATATCCCCAACTTTAATCAATTTTAACTTTACTTTTTAAAAAGTGTAATTTAATCTTTAAAAATTATAATTTTATTTATATAAGTTTGAATGTTTTACGACCGATTATGATGTTGTAGAATCACACATGTCTTTTTTAGTTATAATTTTTATTTTGAAAAATTATAAATTTTAGTACAACACTAACTTCAATACCGTAATCCTTCTCAAAACATTGATTTGTACGTTCTGAGTTCAGTTATGTATCTAAATTTTGTATTATGCTCATAAATATGAAAATGTGGTATCTCTTTTTTTCATCAAATTATGAGATGACACGTAAAATGATTTATTATTTTGTTATTAGAAAAATAACAAAAAAAATTGTTAAATAGAGACTTGTCGGGGAGTGGTAGGACTCATAAACAATAGGAATGCTGAAAGTACCGCCGTTCATATGCGGTAGGAGTGCAATTCGGGCAGGTTGGACAATTAACTCTAGGTATATAATCTTCAATTTTAATCCTAATCCTAACCCTAACCCTACCTCGAGTTGGGGAACTCAACCCGAGCACTGCCCGAGTTTAATTCGGGCGGGCTCAGGTTGAATTTGGGTTAATTATTTTGGGCTAATTTCGAGTTATTTTACAGGTTTAATTCGGGTAGAACTCAAAATATGCTTGTTGTTCTAAACTTAATACATATATTACATAATATTCACCTAAATTAACAACTAATAACTTTAACCAATTTTTAACGAGAGAGGCCGAGAGA